CACGTTAAAAATTCGCAAGTTTCTAGATTCCGTAAAGTCTTGAAACTCGTTTGAGAGCTAATATAAAGACGTTCTCTCTCTTCAAGTTAAAGTTTTGCGAACTCACCCAGTACGAATTGCAGCTAACTCTCTTGCGCGTATATACCTAGAGCAAAATCCACAGAATGACAAAGCGAAGCGCAACTCGCACAGAATAAACTCAAACTCATCTCCCTTTGCCATTTTTATTACACGTCAGTTATTTTTTACCTTGATTTTTAATTTTCGCCATTGTGTCCGTTACAAGGGAGGTAGGTTCTATTGTGTGTTATCACGATTTCGTATAAATGATGCATTCCCTTGTAGCCAGTCATTTATTACGTATATCTTGAAAATACACATCACATTCATTATACTATACTTAGACTGTAAAGAGGCAAAAAATCGATGAAGCAAAATATAATGGAAACACGTACACATGTTTCGGGCTAGGCTTTGGTAGTATTCTGTAATTCACAACTTTTAGATACATCAATTAAAGGTCAGACGATTTAAGCGATCGTTTTTGACAAAAACTAGATGGGGGTAAAAACAAAATCAAAGAAAATTTTCCAGTTCGTACAAATAGTTTTGTTAATTTGTCGCATGTAGACGAAACTTAAAGAAAATCATTTTAAGGAAGAAAGTAGTGCAGATAATGGTAAATTTTTTTCAAACTATTTTTGGTAACCTTAGAACTAAACCAAATGCTTTTTGAACTTTTTTTAATACTTCAATTACACATAGCAAAGGTAATTTTTCTCGTCTATTTTAGAAAATGGATAACAATTTTTAGAAAATTTCGTGATGGATGATAAAAAATGTATACTGCTGGTAATTTTTAATTATCATTATATTCTTTCGTGCATTTTTTCAACTCGAAAAAAGCAAATATCACACCTTCAAAATATATTTTTTTACGTTCTGTAACAATTGTGCTGCTACGTTTTCGAGACGATCCCAGCTAAAAAGGGTGAATAATGCATACAAGGCAAAACTGTGTCAACGGTATACCTAATTAAGTAAATTTAGAACGTGCTAATGATAATATACGTTCACGTGTATGCATAGATTTTCATCGGGCACTGTGTATATGCTAAGTTGTAACGCGAGACAATTATAATAGGTTTAAACTTGGTTTTATAATAGGAACACAATACATCGCCATTCATTTTCATCGAGGTGTAATCAACCCTAAAAGCTTAGAACAATCGCTTAAAAACTTATGATGCAATCACTTTTAACCATTTATCTACAGCGTGTCAACGTTAAGTAGCACTTACATACCTTTTAAAATGCGATCGTGAAGCATAAAATAAATTTTATTTTAACTTTACCCGTTATATTTTTTTGAATTTGCGATGCAACATTTCCAATATATTTCACAGCAAATTTAAAATAAAAAATTCAGGCAAATCCGACATCTTTTAGTCATACCTTCTACTACGCATATTGGCCACATTCTTCCGTACATAACGCTCCAATCAAAATCCATACTTCAAACGTTATCCAAGTATGCATATTAAGATTTCACAGTTGCTTCCGACAAAGCCAAGCTATAAGCCTTTCCTACAAACATATTCTCAGATGTCAAGGGAACCAATTATTGATAGCAGATAGTAAAAGCCGGTTATATCAAGCATGCAAATTTCATGTAAATAAAATCAGAAAATCATTTATGTTCAAAAATTTCTCAAAGAAAAATATGTAGATACATATGCTTTTATTGCAATAATTTAGTTTCACAATGTTTAGTACAAAAAACAAAGAATAAAAAAATTCGCTTTTGTAAATATGCCTACACGAAATTTGTAAAAATTTGTAGCTTTCTAAGGTAATTTTATTTCATTTTATTTTTATTATTTTTTTTCATTCATACGCATATCCCACATTGTAAGGTAGTCGTATTAAGACGGTACTCGTAGAGCTTTTTTTGCTCTAAAAAGTAATTTTACGAATCCGCAGATGCGCAACCACGTTCAGCTATATAGGGAAAAAATTCGAATTCAACGGAAAATGACGAAGTCTAATAAACGCGCGCGGACTGGAAAGAATTACTAAAGAACAAGAAAATGGGTGAAGTGAGAGAGAAAGAGCGAAAGAGAGAGAGAACACAAGTTTTTCTGCGCGCGCTAGCAGCAGGAGCTTTCGGAAAAGAATCGATACGCGAATACTACTTTGTACTACTGACGCGAAAAAAGAGTGAGAGAAAGAGAGGAGAGATGACACACTAGGTGGGAGAGCTACTTCTCTCACCCGCGTGTCAGACTGCTAGTAATAATACGAGATATACGCGCGCACGAGGTGAAGAAGAGAAGAGAGAAAGAGAGAGCTAAAAGTCAGCGTCTGCTCTTTTTATACATCCGATGCTGGAAGCGTGAGGTGCAAAGCGAATGAAAAAGATGATACGCAGGCTCTGTGCAGCTCGCGCAAGGCAGTCATAAAGCTGCTTCATAAAATATTTCTCACTCTTTTCGGGTTTGTTTACGCGGCGCGTAAGGAAGGAGATACGCAGCACAGCATACGTGTAAAAAGTCGCGCACAGGTGGCAACATAATTACTGCGTGTGAGATTACATGCGCCGAGATTAAGCGAAATAAAACAACGTGTCACGTGGTTTTAATGCATACAGCGGCGGCGGCGAAATGTAAGCACAAGTGTACACATATTTTTCGAGTGCATTAGGAGATACGTGTCTTCGTGCGAGCTTCGTACACGTTTATACGTGAAACTCGCGTGACATTCTCTGCGCTACAAAATTTTCAAGAAAAATCAAGTTACAATTAGCCATCCTCAAGCTTATTTGAAATCTTATAAGTGAGAGAGCATAAAATGATGGTAATTAGATTCTATCATAAACGGGTCAGTCAAGCGCGTTCATAACAATTCGGCCAATTTCGTAGCTTAACGTTATGCACGTGTTGTGTTATTGCTGAACATGGACCAAGCGCAGCGCAGTTGCAACTCGTGCGCAGTGTTTCATGCCATATATAGAGTACGGGTGTATTTCCAGCGCGACTAACAAACGTGCTCGAAATGCTCAAAGTTACTCTTGTCAGAGACCTTGGAATATGCGTGAATGTTAGTGTATGTATGTGTATAATATACAATTAAGAAGGAAGATAGAGCTTATTCTTGTTGGCTTGTAAATTTTCTGGAGTCGAGAAAACTCGGCTCGGTATATTTTCGAGAACGATTCTCGCTCCCTGATTTTTTTATTCGTAGAAAATATATCGCTCGATTTAATAATGGTATAAAACCATTAATCTTTAAGATCATTTCATTTGATCTCACTCAATGATTCCTCTCATAGTGAAAATAATTCTATAACCGCTCTAAAGAATAATGCATTGCGAAGCATTAAGATCATGATTAGCTTAATCGACCTCTGAGTTTATTTTAATTCTGTTTCATACGGAAATGACTTATTAGTCAAAAACAATTCAATATGCATTGTAACAAATTCACTTATACTTTTTCGCCCATTTGCCTGCTTTCCATCACATACATCTATATACGGTTACGCGTCTATTGAAGATAGAGAAAAGAACAGAAAGAGAGAAAATAAACAAGCTCCGAGCGAGATAAAGCAGGGATGGAAAATTAGTGTTTTGTAAATATAAAAAAAGAAAAAGAGAGATTGAGAAATCACATTCATCACAAATGTTTTAGCCATTCTGTTTTTCATTTTAGCAAGCAAGGTTGAGTACACACGCAGCCTTTTTTTCATTGTTCTCCCGAGACAATGCCCCACGACCATCGCAAACACGTCTGTTCACGCGCACATGTTTTTGTTTACGTCCGCGTAGTTGTGCAAAAATTTCTATTCCATTTAAAATAAACATGCGTATATCTAAGTACATACACATGTATTATAATTTATATTTTATATACATCAATAAAATAAATCGTTTTTTTATACGATCTAATTGAACACTTTATTCTGGGCAATTTTTTGAAATGAGCCCCATTTATTCGCAGGTAATTTATAGCCTTATAAAAAAATGACGGAAAATCTCGTAAAAGGTTCTCTCGGTCGATACGTAAAAGAAGCGAGAAAAAAACTTCGATTACTGCTGTAAGTTGAGTTAAAAAATTGATTTACTGACGTGCGAGTTTGGAGGACTTTTTCTGCTTCGGGCTATACGAGATTATATAGTAATTCAACCTGCTGGCTGTGCAAAGAACACCAAAAGAAATGTTAGCTACGATGAGGAAAAAGCAGCCGATTTCTTTCGGGTGCTAAGAAAACTGCTGAGACAAATTAAACATTTTTGTAGACTAAAAAAATAATTATTGTCGTCGGTGATCAAGGACTTTTCTAAGTATCATACGTATTTTTGTACGAAGTTTCAACGAGCATTGAAAGTGAGAACAATAATCAATTCAAAGTTACTAAGTACCAAAAAATACCGTTATTTGATGCCTCCAAATTATAGAATCATCTTCGGTACAATAAAATTCTATTTCATGTAAAAATAAGGCATGACAGTTTGTTGGTTAGCATTGAGATAAATGTTTACACTTAAATACGACAAATTTTATTTTTTTTTTCTACCAGCTGGTCTAAATTGTCTCGAAATATGTAATTTCCTCAAATCCTTATACAAAAGAAGCAGAGTTCCAGCGGTGAATCTTTACCCCTCGTTTTTTACTTAAGGAAAGTAGGAGTATCGACTTGAGATTCGATTTGGATTGATTTAAACGTAGTCTAACCGTCATTCGAGGGGATCATTCTTTGCCTTGGGAGATGAAAAAAATCTACACATATATTTTTGGAACGACGCTTGGGACTCATTAAGAACTTTCTATAGTACACTTTATATTTTCCCGTAAAATTAAGCTTACATATACGAAAGTTAACTTTGAGCTTAAAAAATATCGAGGGCTTTACGAGTCAGTATTTGTGCAGCTCTCAATACTTATATTATGAATGCTATCAAAAAAGCATAGTTTTTAAAAGTTAAATTCTGTGATTTCAGGTACCAGCGCCTTGCAGCGCATTGGGTTTTTCCTAATGCCGGCCAGGAAAGGTCTACTCGCGCCTCAAAACACCTTTCTCGATACAATAGCAACACGTTTTGATGGAACCCGTAAGTTTTTTTTACTATTTTCTTAATGATTGTATTCACAAAATTCCTTTTCTTGTGCAATAAGAAATACGTTTCATATGCCTAAGGCAGTTTATTATTATTATTGAAATTCCTTGGAATTGAAATGGTTGAAAACTGGTAAAAAATTTTCGAAACAATGAAATTAGCATTTTCTGCTCACTTGAAGTGCGCTACTTGAAGTTAATTGTAACATGTGAAGTATTTTGTGTCAGGGAAACATTATTTTAGTTATCAATACATAAGGATTCAATTTATAAAAAATGAAACATTTTGATTTGACACAGAGTTATCAAGAAAAAATAAATGTAAGGGAACCGCATTAAAGCAGATCCCACCTTACTTAGAAGTCACTTAATCATGTAAACATACAGAGTGCATAAAACTTGATCAGTACAGCTGTCACTGCGTGAAAATCGCGCGAGAGTCGCATCCTCGACGTGTAATTCGAATTTATAGGCGGGATCGTGCCTCGCGCGGATATTCGTGTGCAATGAAAAAAAACTCTTATTTCTGGATGTATATCAAGCGTTTCATACAATGGACCGAGAAAAAAGTAGAGCGTCCCACGCGAATGCACCGCGAGAAGAAGCGCATAAACACGTAATACCTGCAGGTGCACACAAGCTGCGTGAGCAATAAAGTCCAAAAAGGTATGGGTGCTGCTGGCCACGTGCATGCTACACCAGCTCGCTTTATACAGCAGTAAAACGAACGGAGTTTCAACACGTAGTAAATAAGGCTACACGATTTCCGCGCGAGCAGCACATACGAGCATGATACGAGCTCGAAAAGCCATAATGCATTCTTCATCTGAAAACGCGTTACACGCGCCGCGCCTGCAAGTAACGCATATACCTGTATGCGCGTGTAAAATATAATTTGTTTATAAAGCGCTGCTCGTTGACTTGTAACTCAGCATCAAGCAGCAAGCAAGCAGCAGACTGGCAGGCAGGAGGGCGGCTGATGTACGCATTTACCTGGACTACTGGCAGAGCTACTCTGCATACACGCACACACGCTGCATCGCCCCTGGCTGGTGTACACTGTATTTTATGATACAGCAGACTGTGTGCAGTGTATAAGCTTGCTCGACAAAGTATGGCCCTTTATAACTGCGCGCACAAGGCTTCTGCTGATGCGCCCACGGTGTACGGATCTGTTTATAAAGCCGCTGTGATCGCGGGTTGTGCGTTTAGTCTGCTGATACCCTCTCTCGCGCGCTGACACAGCTCGCGCATTTTCATGGACCCCAGTTAAGTAGGCCCGAGATATATTTTATAAGCAGCGATAATCGAAAATTTAAATATAATATGAAAAATGAGCATTTTGTACTCGAACGCAGTCGATATAATACCGTTCGATTGTGAATTACAGTTTCGACCCACTGATTGCACGCTGCAATAAATAGAAATGTTTATTAGCTCCATGATCGAGTGCTTAAACAATTCAATCTCCATGCCCGATACTCACCAACACGTTAGAGATAATTCAAAATTCAACAACCGTTCGGTGTTCGCACATGTGGTCACAAATCGATTCACCGCGATGCCAGCCGTAATTATGAGCCACCGAAAATCCTTCGACGATATGATATAGTTTATGCAGCGAGAAATGTGTATAAAAACCTCGGTTGGCGTTTCGCTCGCTTCAATGAGATATAATGCGCTTACTTAACGTTTATTTTGCTGGAAGCCGTGCGCTCGCGAGCATTATCTTCTTGTATGTGTACCTATGCTTGTATACAACACAATATGAATACAAAGATAAGATATCGATCTCGATGGTCATCGATGAAAATAACTTATAAAAAAGACAAGGAGTGATAGATACCTTGGTATTATTAGCCCGTGTTCTTTTTTGTGAATACAAGAACAGAAGCTTTTTTCTTCCTTTATTCTTTTTTCAAGCGGCTACGGAAAATAATACTCCAGTCTCCCGAAGATAAGGGATGTATACACAAAGCCATAATAGTCGTTATTCTGTTCGATATTTTTTGCTAGGGGGAAGAAGGGTCATGAATCTCTATGGATTTGGCGGACTCAATACAGAATTAATTGGCTTTTGAGGATTTGTACCGTTGTACAGAAAGTTTTGGTTCTATAAGATTAATGATAAAATTCTAATTCGCGCTAGAAATTCGTTGCATGATTTATATAGAGATTTTTTTTGGCAATGGTCGGAGAACTCGATCATGCGTTTCTCACTTCGTTTCGATTTAAAAGGAATTTTGCAATATAACATCAATCCGCGCAGTAATATCATTGCTTTATTGGCTTAATTTAATTATATCACTATATCTGTAACCTTGAGAGTAATGAAAATATCAGGAGAAGTTTATCGTAAAACTTACAGCAAGTTTAATAAATCATAAAATATGTGACTGATATAATACCTTCCTTGTTTTTTAATCACAGCGGAAAACGATTATTTTCTAATGACTTTATGCTACCTCTTGTCAATGTATTAAGTGAACAATCAAAATATGTAGGCAAATTTTACGACCATTTCTCAATGTTAATATCGCACTTAAATTTGTGACAAATAAAATTTTTTAAACCATTTTGTTTTAAAATTTATTCAGCTTATAACAATCAATTTGCCTCTGTTGCACTGCTTTATACATCAAAATCCGGAATTTTAATAAGTTAAGCGTTGAGGGCAAATTGAATAACCATGTTTTTAAAAGTAAATCCCAGATTTTGCTCAAAGCTATGAGGGTTGAAATGATCAGTGCATATTTTGAAAAGTTTCGTTTTGTTTCAAAAAGAGTTCAATTTTGTAACTATTCTGTATTACTTTTAACAAATTGATTTCGATAAACCCTGGGAATATAGTTATTATTCTTTAAAACTGTTATTCCAAAAAAACTTAACAAACTTTAAAATTCTACGTGAGATTATAATCGTACGGAGAGTTTTTATTTCTTGCACATATGCTGATAGGGCTAGATTATCGTCCAAAAGTATGTCTAACTAAACGTTGAATTAATCTTAATTAATGAATATTCCAGCAAAGTGCGTAGAGCTGTAGAGACCATAAATAAATGATAGCGATTAATCTCTACATTTTACCCTTACAATCTTATCGGTTGCAACTGTGCTTGCATATCACTGAATAGATTTATCGTCGCGAGTTAGTTCGTGAAGTTTAATAAGTATAATTACCAAGCCGACGTATCATTACTTTGCAGAAAATTCCTCGAGTCAATACTAGCTTACATGACTCCTATATATTACGCTTTCCATTCAAATTTTCCAATTCATCGATATTCGTAAATTCCTCGATTGTACTGCTGTCACTTTGAATCTATGCCAAACGAGCTTATGATCGTTCGTTCGTGGAAAAAGGTCTCGAAAGGGAAAGTACGTGAAATTCGTACGCACGATAAGACTTTTTCGCTATGATAAACCAAAATATGGGGTTTACATCGTAATACTCATACATTAACTTCGTATTAAATTTTCAAAAGTGCTAGACGCGCTTCAAATTATAATTCGACCCCTTACTCGGCGGGCGCGTTAATCTAATAACAAAGCTTCTAGTCATCACTTCAAACTCATCTTTTAAGCTCAAACTTTCATTAAAAAACAATAAATTACTTCATCGAAATTTAAAACTCTACAGTATTCGCAGAGATTATTCGTACAACAGAAATGTTATACTGCGCGAGATAATTGGTCCTTGTATTACACCGCTTCTTGTAAATCCGATTTACAACAGCAGAAGTACAAATTGCTCTCGGCTTCGCTACGATGATGAATTTGCCTGGTATGCGTGTACGTGTATAGGATTGATAGAGCACAATAACAAGTTTGCATTCCAAACTTTGATGTTTTTATATATTAAAACACGTCTTATATTGTACAGTTTATTACCTCATAGATATTGCAATCTTATTATTGTTTTTTGTGGGAATTTTTTTATTTTAGAAATTAATTGACGTCATAGTAACTCGTAAATCAGAGGAAAAAGAACTGAAGCAGTTTAGATTCGCTAGGAAGGCGGACAAATTTGTTTTTTTTTATTTGTTTGGCTCGTAGAAATATTGGAAATGGCATTTCTTGCATTCGAGCTAAAGCTTACAATAACTGTTAATTATATCAACTCGATGGTGAGTTTTATAATATCAAAACGTGTTTCTCTCTAGTTTCTATTAATAAAATCGTTTGAAAAACGCGAATTGTTTTGTCGGCTATTTTAAAAACTAATTCGTTAATCTCTCTATCACCATTTCTTATTCGCTCTCGGATCTACGCATAAATTTATAATACACTCGAGCGCGCCCGCCAACACATATGTCGCGTGAGAAACTGAAAGATTATACACCTACAGGCGATAATCTTTTCGGTGCGAAAAAAATAAAATAAAACCAGCTATGGCTGAACGCTCGTGGGTGTTGCTCGTTGAGAATCGAGACGCGATATTCGGCAGATTGCCAAAGAAACTAAAAGTGAAAGACATACATATATACACGAAACGAGTGAGAGCTACAAAATGCCTTAAGGGTAGTTAACGAGCATTTCAATGCTAGTTGTTTACAGCGCTGAAAATCTCGTCACTAGAAGCGACCAGCTCAAAAAAGAGCCTCTTAATGACTCCTTTCTTACGCCGTTTGACTACCCGCAGATACATTGCTTTTTTCTTTTAGAGGCTCGTTAATCTATATATAAGTATAAAGTGAAGTTTTTTTCGAAAGAAAAGTGTGCCGTAACAAAGCCAGATGGCAGAAGTTTAAATATCATATAGTATGAATCACGTGGTGGTGGAAAAAAAATTATATAAACGAGAACCGATAGATTCACTTTTGCCGAGTCGTACACGATATAGCCCGCAAATTTATGCAGACATTTAAAAACGTTTGCCGATATTTTACGGCTAAAAATGGCTTAGCGTTCCCAGCTGCGTTCTCCTTCAGTGGAAAAAATTCGACTCCAACGTTCAATTTCATTTTTGAGCCGAAAGCAATTAAAGTTAGTGAC